AGCAGAGGCTTCTTGCTCCCTCGAAGTCCCGGCTGCTTAACATAGTAAGTCACAGCTAGAGTAGGCCCATCGGATCATTGAAACTTGCAGAGGGGTTAACTCACCACATCAGTGAACCTACACCCGTTGTGGCTTGCAACACAAAGTAGCAAGATTTTAGGCAGCGAGTGTGTCTTTAATCCAGTCATTCTCTTTTTAGCTTAACCTATTTCACAAGGTTGCTCGAAAGCTCAGTGAGTTGGGTATCTGGCTCAGGAGCCAGAGGTTGGGAGTTCAGTTCCCCCCACTGTGCCTGTCAGGAGAAGAGCCAGCCTTTGTGGTCTTGGGCCAACTGCACAATCCCAAGAATGCCTCCAGAAGAAGAGAATGATAAACCAGTTCTTACTCTCCAGCTGGAAAGCCTTACAAGGGGTGACTGTAAGTCAGAACGAACTTGACAGCACACAATTATTAATTAGTTCACAAGGTTGTTTTGAAGATAAAGGTAGAGTCAAGCAGTACTCCCTGCAGCTCACTGGAGGAAAAGTAGGATATAAACGTAAAGAATAATATTCTGCATTTTTCTTTGTGCATTTCAGCATTACAGATACTTTTGAAACCTTCACGTTGAACCTCTTGTCTGCCCTGTTGGTTGGTGGACCTAATTCTCCTTTTTATAAAGCTTTAATTGAGACTGGCCTGGGTACAGATTTTTCACCTGATGTTGGGTAAGTGTGTTTGCCCGCCTTCGCATGCTATCGAAACTCATCCTGCAGCTTGAATTGCATCTGTGTTGTAAAATGACTTAAATCCTACTTGTGCATTTTTTTTCTGAGCCTGCTGAGACCTGCTAGTCCTACTCCTGTCAGTGGTGGCTTTCTCCACTTGAGCACCTAGTCTGAAGAAAGAAATTCCTGCTCGTGTGTAGACTCTACACTTGAGGAGACTCTCTGGAAGATTCATGTTCTTTGTTCATGTTTGTCTCATGTGAGCAGAAACATCTCTGACTTACTGTATTTTTCCATTTACAGTGGTGCCTCGCATAACAAGAGCACCGTTTAACGACGAATTCGCATAGCGATCTATTTTTTAGATCGCTAATGCGATCGCATTGCGATGGTTAGATAGGGTGAAAATCGCATTGCGATAGTGTTTCGCTTACCAATCTTCACATTGAGATGTTCCTAGAACAGCTGATTGGCAGTTCCAAAATGGCCGCCGGACGCCCAAAATGGCCACCGCAAGTGTTTTTGCGCCCTGCCCTCGCTTACCGAGGGCGCGAAAATGGCGGCGCTATGGAGGAACTTTGCTCAACGGTGATTTTGGGCCCCATAGGAACGCATTAAATCAAGTTTAATGCGTTCCTGTGGGTTTTTTCGATCCGTTTAGCGATGTTTCCTCATAGCGACGATTAATCCGGAACGGATTAATGTCGCTATGCGGGGCACCACTGTATAAGATGCCCCGATGTATAAGACGACCTCCACTTTTCTAAATCCAAATTAGAAAATTTCATTGTTGCTTTCCCCGCCACTGCCTAAGCCCAGAGTTTAGTAAAAGAAGGGGGAAAGCAGCGATCAAAGGGCTGCAGGCTTTCCCCCTCCTTTTGCTAAGCCCCGTGGGGCTTATGAAGTGGTGGGGAAAGCAGCAGTCAAAGTGATCCTGCAGCTCTTTGATCGCTGCTTTTCCCCTCCTTTTGCTGAGTTCTATGGGGCTTAGCAAGTGGAGGGGGGAAAGCAGGGATCAAAGCATGGCAGGATTGCTTTGATCCCTTCCCCACTCCATTTGCTTTTGTTCTCTCAACTTTCTTCCATGTATAAGACAACTCTCAATTTTTGGTCTAAAGATTTTAAACAAAAGTATTGTCTTATACACAGAAAAATACGGTACCATCGCTCTCATGGAAGGAGCAGGACATGCCTCTCTCTTTGGTCACGTTGAGGGGACTCGGTTCTGTTAATGCTTCAATAGGGCTTCAGACTGAACTTTTAAAATTAGAGTTCTGTGAGCTGTAACCTGAAAACCTCTCTGACTTCTAGCTAGAAATGATCGTTGTCTGTCGTTGCAGGTTTAATAACTCCACACGAGAAACCTACTTCAGTGTCGGCCTTCAAGGGATCTCTGAGGAAGACGTTGGCACTGTGAAGGAAATTATTGCAAGAACTGTTGATGAAGTGATTGAGTAAGTGAAGGCACTGGGCGATTTCTCGGTCCCAGTTGGGTTTAGGTGGTATTCTGAAAAGTAATTCTCTACTTGGTTTCACAACCCTCAGAATCTCCCAGGCGTTGTGATCATGGTTCTGCTGGCAGGGGAATTCTGGGAACTGTAGTCAATAACATTTTCCAGATCAGTCAGATCATTATTGTCCTCATGATGTCTGAATGCAACTTATCCATATCCATAGATTGTTTTGAGGCTTACTCCATAAGCCATTGTAGGGGTCATCCATATATTACACATACATATATGTGTTTCAGCACATATTTGCTTGGTTATGGGAATTTTGCTACTCGTCATGAACAAGGCTATCTGGGTGGTTTCAAAATTCTGCACCCCAGGAACCTAAACATAGCAGCCATTTTGCTTTCCAGGTTGTGTAAATGAAGCAGGTTGCAATCTGCTTTCGTAATAGTGCATCCTCTTATGCAGAGATAGAAGATACAGATATGCAGGGTCCATCTTTTCCATCCATTGTCCCTTCCGTTTGGGCATTTTTCCTTCTCTCCTGGTTTATGTTGGTGATCCTGGGGGGCTAGAACATAGGTTCTCGGAAGAATAAAACATAGGTTCACAAAATGTTGGATTCTCCATCCGGTACTGATACCCCCATCAGAGTAGTAAAAATACAGAAGGCTCTCTGAGCTGTCTCTTCCTGTTACTTCCTGTCGTTGCAACAACGACATAAACAGGAACAAGCTGTTTATGTCCTGTCTTACCCAGTCCTGTCTTACCCAGCAATCTGCTCAGGCAGTGGCCAACTATGGAAAGCACCAGGAGTACAAAATGCAATCAGTTTGACTAGTGTGTGGTGTGTATCTGCCTTGATGTTAGTACTGAGCTGAGTATTCAACTAAGCTGAAATTTGCAGTTTTCAAGAACAAGGCAACATTCTCTCCAAAGAAAGAATGGGGTAGATGGACACCAGTGGGGGTGTTCATCTACCTTACGCCAAAGAATATTCCTTGGGATACAAGATCCACGTTGCAGCTTGTGGTGCCAGTGCATCTCTCTCTTATGTTTGGAAGGGGGGATGGGAATCCATAAAGCGTTGTCCTCCTGGTATCATTTAAGTGAAGATCACTTAACTCTTATCTCTCTTTGTCCCACCTCCGATGGATGAATAGTTCCCATGCACTCTTTCATGTGCTTAAATCATCTCTACCCACCTTGCCATTATAGGGTTTGTTCGTTAGTAGAATAATCTAGCAAGCTTCATTGTTTTTTGTATTTGTAAAGCAAATTCCACTCCCTCCCCCCAGGGATGGATTTGAGGAAGACTATATTGAAGCACTGCTCCACAAAACTGAGATCGGGATGAAACATCAGTCAACAAGCTTCGGGCTTGCCTTGACTTCGGTAGGTGCTGTTTCCCCTGCTCCCTGAGGTGGCTGCCTCTGTCTGCCTAATGAGAGGTCTGGCTATCCCAGCGTGCCAACTAATGAACATCTCAGATCCCCTAGACAGAAGCTCCGAATATGGGATTTTGACCACAGGGAAAGAGGTTCATTGCATGCATATAGGTTTCAATGCAAAAGGGGGGGGGGGAATAATACGAGTTGTTTGGCATGCTTATCTTAAAACTTACACATGGAATATGCCTGTCTTTCTTCTTCTTGCACCCTTGCTTGTTTCCCCGAAGAATATTGCTGCATGTTGGAACCATGACGGAGACCCCGTTGACCTTCTGAAGATTGCACAGCAAGTGGCCCAGTTCAGAGAGTGCCTTAAGGAGGATCCCAAGTTTCTTCAGAAGAAAGTGAAGCAGTACTTCAAGGTAGGACGGTGTTGGGAAGCAGAAGTTGGGAAATCTTGCCTTCCCTGGTGTTTTGGGGCTGAGGTTCTTCTCTGGATCCTTTTCTAATCAGGTGACTTGTTAAGAGAATTGGTACCCATAGTTGAGCAGGATTTGAAGGAGGCGTTTCATTTTTTTGATTTTTCTTCCTTTGCCTGTTCTGGGTAAAAGGACAATCCCCACAGATTGACACTCTCGATGAGTCCAGATGTGGCTTTCTGTAATAATCAAGCAGCAATAGAAGAAGTGAAATTGAAAGAAAAGGTTCAGGCACTTTCTGAGGAAGAAAAGAAGGAAACATATGAAAAAGGTTGGTCTTTTTTTTCTCTCTCTTTCTTTTTCAAGAAAACCTAGCCAGAAACCTGTTGGTTATGCCTGTTTTTCTAACTCACAAATATAAAAAAATTCAGTGTATAACCGTACAATTATTTGCTTTTTAAGTTCCCACTCATCTGTTTCCTTAATGTTCATTTTCCCACTACTTGTACTGTAAATGGATATATATTTGGTTTTACTAACGAAAACATGTAGCATTCTATGTCCGGCTCTTACAACTCTTTAAAAAATATATATTTTTCTCTGCTTGTTTTTATTATTCTTACTTATTTTATTATTGTTTGTTTATTTATATATTTATTTACAGTGGTGACTCACTTGACGATGTTAATTCGTCCAGCAACATCGCTGTAGAGCGAAAACATCGTCAAATGAAATTTAAAAACCCATTGAAACGCATTGAAAACCGTTCAGTGCGTTCCAATGGGCTGAATACCTGCTCATCCAGCGAAGATCCTCCATATAGCGGCCATTTTCGGTCCCTGTAAAGCAAGGAATCCGTCCTGGAAAACAGCGGGGGGCCATTTTCTTTAGCCAGCGGCCATTTTGAAACCCGACAATCAGCTGTTTGCTGATCGTTGCAAAGCGAAAATCGGTTCCTGAAGCAGGGAACCGATCATCGTTACACGAAAAAAACCCATTTAAACCATTGTTTTGCAAAAGCGAAAAACTAATCGTACAGTGATTTCCTCATTAAGCGAGGCAATCGTTAAGCGAGGCACCACTGTATTTACTTACTTACTTACTACCCCAGTGGTGCAAGGCACCGACTGTTCTGGGCAGTTGACAGCATAAAAACAAACCATCACAAATGAAAAACAAATCAATACAATAAAACAAAGCCAAGTAAATATTACAGGTATAAATGCCAAGGGAGAATGGTGCATTCATTAAAAACCAAAGGTAGGGCAAGGTCTCTCTATATTTTTTTCTAGCTAGAGATCTTGAATGTTGGCCGGGTGTTTTTGTCAGAACCGCTAAGTAATGTTCTCCTCTCTCTTTTTTTGCTAGGTTTGGAATTGCTGGAGCTCCAGAGCCAGCCTGCGGATACCTCCTGCCTTCCAGCTCTGAAAGTGTCAGACATTGAGCCGAGGATTGCATTGACTGAGCTGGAGATGGCTGTTCCAGGTCAGGCCCGCTAAAGGATTTGTTTTCCTTGCTTGTTTTTCAGCAGAAACGGAGGGGCAGCTTCCCTCACACAATACCAGAACCAGAGGACAGCCATCCAAATTGAGTGCTGGGAGAGTAAGAACAAACCAAAGAAAATATTTCTTTACCCAGTGTGTTATTCTGTGGAACTCCTTGCCACAGGATGTGGTGATGGCATCTGGCATAGATGCCTTTAAAAGGGAGAATTGGACAGATTCCTGGAGGAAAAGTCCATCGCAGGTTACAAGCCATGATGGGGATGTATAATCTCCAGGCTTAAAAGGAAGGGACCTCCAAATACCAACTGCAGGGGACGGTATCAGGAAACAGGTATCTAGTCTCGTGTGCTGCCAGAGGCATCTGGAGGGGCCACTGTGAGATACAGGGAGCTGGACTAGATGGGCCCTTGGCCTGATCCAGCAGGGATCTTCTTATGTTCTTATGTACAGGTACCTGCTACTGTATTTGAAAAGTAACCATTGCCATTACTTGTTTCAGTGTGACAGAAGAGAAATTGTTGCATTACATGTCATATTCTTCATTGTTATTTCTTACATTTGTTTCTGGGGAAAAATACTTTGGATTGATAAGAAAGTCAAGTAAAACATGAAACATTCTTGACAAAAGGGTTGTGAAAGCCGCCATAAAATGTCCTTTAAATATAACTTCTCAAGGTAATGCTCTGTTAAGTGAGGCACCACTGTAATTATGTTGCACTCTAGTTAGGTAAAGGTAAAGGTTCCCCTTGACATTTAGTCTAGTTGTGTCCACTCGTAAGGCGCGGCGCTTATCCCCGTTTCCAAGCCATAGAGCCAGCACTTGTCTGAAGACAGTTTCCGTGGTCACTTGTCACCAGCGCGAGTAGACACGGAACGTCATTACCTTCCCACCGTGGTGGTACCTATTTGTCTAGTCATATTTTTACATGCTTTCAAACTGCTGGTTGGCAGGAGCTTAGACAAGCGACGGGAGCTTATTCCGTCGCGTGGTTTCGATCTTACGACGGTCTGGCCCCAGGGGGCGGGACACTTGCAGCCCAGAGGCTTCTGCAGTTTAACCCACAGCTCCACCAGGTCCACTCTACTTACTGCCTCCTAAAAGTGATTACTTACCAGTATTGTACTTTAATTTTGGCATTTGTGTGTATGACACAAGTTAAAACCCAAAGGATTTTTGGCTTGGCTTCTACGAAACTGGGTTCGTCCAGCATGATTCAAGTCTGTTTCTGAAAAGCTGCTCCCCTTTGCTCTGGACATACAGTCAGTTGGTAATGACGACTTCCTCTCCTTTGTCCATAGCGGAGGACGTCCCTGTCCAGTACTGTGCTCAGCCCACCAACGGGGTGGTGTATTTCAGAGCTGTTTCCAGCCTGAACACCCTTCCGGAGGAGCTCCGACCTTACGTTCCACTTTTCTGCAATGTCGTCACTAAGTAAGAACGTTTTGCCTTGTAGCTGTTGGACGGGAGACCACGGGGGGTGGGGGAGGATACTGGGAGGGTCTGTGGGATCAGGGTCGATTTCATACTGGTCATCATGAAGGCTCCAGGTTCAGTCCTGAGCAGCCTCAGGGATGGTTGGAAGAAGAAAACCGGCCCCTGGAGAGTCGCTGCCACTCAGAGCTGCCAACACAGTAAGGCAGCCCAGTAAGGTCTCCATATCCGCCAGGGATTGGTTCTGAGCCTCCCTGTGGATGTTGAAAAGCATGGATTATAGCAAATGTTATTTTCATAGTATTCGTATATGAATATCCCTGCACAGGTGGACATAATGAGGGTCCTGCCCCCTGGGGCCAGACCGTCCACTCACCCGCCCACTGCTGCTGCCGCTCTGCTCTCGTTTCCAATCCCTCTGGAGCTCGTGGTCAACTAGCCACTCGTCAGCCTGCCAGGGAGGCTCGTCTTCCCTCCTCCTGCCAGGAATGGTTAATCGAGCATGAGCGATTGGAAAGGAATGCAGAGCCGCAGCAGCAGCGGATGGGTGAGTGGACTCATTAGATCCACCTGTGCGGGGGTAGTTGTATTCTTATACGAATACCCCCATCTCTAGGGAACATTATCCCTGTTATGATTTGTGGCTCCCTCTAGCGGCCAGTTCTAGTAATGACACTGTGGAAATATATTTATCAAAGATTTTTTGTAGCATGTTTTGGAGCTCATTCTATGGCCAGTTCTGATTAACTTCATCTTTAGAAATATACTGTATATTTCTTGGATTATTCTTTGAAAATGTCTTAATTTTTTCAGACCGTGGATAAGTGAATCAGTGGGCACCGATCCAGTGGATATGGGGGTTTTACTGTACTAAGCTAGATAGACCCATGATCTGGCCCCCTCACAAGGCAGCTTCCTGTGTTTCTGACTCATGTAAAACTCGGGGAGGAGGGCAAGGTTCTTTCTTGCGTCCTTGCTGTTGCAGAGGGTGCTGGTGCAGAGGGTCCTTACCTGTGATTCCCCCCCCTCCTTTCTTTTGCAGGATGGGATGTGGCGCTTTGGGATACAGAGAACAGTCTCTACAGATAGACCTCGACTGGTTGCCTTTCTGTCAGCCCTCACATCGCGGCCGATGATTCGCATCTGGACGTATATGAGCAGGTGGGTTGTTCTTCAGATCGTTTTCTGGCCCCAGTTTTCCCTTCACATTGGGGCTGTTACCAGATACACGTTTTGGGGTTCCTGAAAACTCAAGACACCCAATGTTTTGAAAATGCAATACGGGTGCCGATACGTAACGGTGCTAGTGAGCAGCGACGGACTTTGCAGTCCCACAATATTCAAAGAGCTGCAGCTGTTATAGTGTGTGGCAGTGATCACAACATAAGCCTCTGCTTTTGTTCCCAGGGCAGATCACCCTGATCGAGGATGGAGCATAATTAGCTAACGAGAGGCCAGTCCAGTTCCTCCAGCCCCACCCCATGAGTGATATACTCTCCTGTCCTGGCAGATCCCTCCTCACTACCTTTTCCTGCTGCCTTCCACATTTCCCAGCATTATTGTCTTTTCCAGAAACACCTGGCATCTCATGATGTGCCGAACGTTGAACAGCCTCGGTTTCAACAGTTTTGCCTCCACAGACAGTTCAGACTTGATTTCATCTAGGACCCACTTGGCAGTCCAGGTTATCCCGAAGATGCTCATCCAGCACCACATTTCAAATTAATCATTTTTTTTTCCCTGTCAGCATTCTTAGCTATCCAGATTTCACACAAGAGTGTGGATTATCTTGGCCTTGGTCTCCAGCAACACATCCTTACAGTTGATGCGCTTTTCCAGTTCCTTCATTGCTGCCTTTCTGAGTCTTGCTCTTCTTCTTATTTCTTGGCTGCACGGATTAGTGTAATGTGTCTTAATAGAAGTAATTCCTTGGAGTATTTTCTTACTGCTTTGCCCAGTGACCTGATCTTTCCTGTTTTTTTTCTCCTTCAGGGTGTTCTCTTCACCTCTCTGTGCCTGGACAAAAATTTGCCTGACATGATGAATCTGTGGACGGAAATATTCAACAAGTACGTTCTATTTTGAGAAATAGTTCTTTGTTGTGTCATAAAAACTTGAGTGGCTTTTTTTTTATAATATAACTTACAAAAGTTGAGGGTGCTAAAAATAGAAAATTCACGTCATGAATTAGAACTTTGTAAAGTCGCCTGCGGAAGTGAACGGGTGTTTTATTCTCTCCCCCTTCCCACCCCCCTCAGCCCCCATTTTGAAGATGAGGAACATTTCAAAGTCTTGGTAAAGATGACCGCTCAGGAACTGTCCAACAATATTCCTGATTCCGGACACACGTACGCTTCGATTAGAGCAAGCCGGACCTTGACGCCTGCGGGAGAGTTAAAGGAGATGTTTAATGGCATGGAGCAGGTAAAAGGAAGGGGATAGAATTCAGAGCTTATTGCTGGGGCGGCTGGGGGATTCTGGGAGTTGTAGTCCAAGAAAAGATACTGGCCAAAACTCCAAAGTAGAAACATGGATGCTCTCCTTTTTTTGTAGGTTGGGCTCTTCATCTGCTTAGCTCTAGTCAGACTGGGAACAGTTCTCCTGGAATTCAGGCAGAGTTCTTTCTCATCCCCTTGCTATGTATAAATTGGAGAGGCCAGGGGTTGAACTGAAGAGGCGCTGAGTGCTAAACCAGCATTCTCTCTCTGACGCATGATGGCCTGGGGGCTCGCCATGCAACGTTTGGGACCCTATTAGGATTCTTTCTGCATTGACCCGTGCAGTTTGGAAGCTGCAGCAGCATGTCGAGCTCCCAAGTATCATCAGATGCTCCAATTCCCACGAGTTATGAACCCCCTGATGGAGGCTACCTTCCTACAGCAGCGGTGGGCTTTAGATGTCGGCAGCAGAGAGATGCTTATTTGAGGAAGCCGCTGGTAGAACACGCCAAGGCCGTACGAGTTCACCTGCCGATCCCATTTGGAGGAAAATGCGACTGGGTGCGTTTCTGCGTACCCCCTGCTTGTTGCAGGATCTGGGGAGGGTCTATTGAAAAATGGGGTGGGAGAGAGTTCAGTATTGGACTTATCAGGCAGAACAGCGTTTTCCTTTCCTGATGTGGTATCACTAGTGATTAAGAAACAAAGCAACAGATTAGGTTATTTCCAGCTTGTATGTGATTTCTGCTGAGAACTTCCCAGAGGGCCTCCTTAGGCTTAGTTCTACAGTATTGGAATGATTCCACTCTACCTTCCGAAGTTCTTGTAAGGGAGGGGTGGACAAAATACAGCCCCAGAAAACTTCATTTCTTTTTCCCCACCCGGGGGGAGGGGGGACATACAAACTCTTGCCCCAGCAGAAAAGGTAAACTTGATTTCCAGGAGCAAATGATTCAGCTTTTCAGAGAAGTCTGAGCCCTCTGCCTGCAGTGTTTAAACATCAAACAACAAACAAACAAGCTTTTTTGAAACCAGAAATGGTCTGCTGGTTATTTTTAGTTTTATTCTGTTTTGATGTCCTTTGGTTAATGTTTCCCAAATTGTTGTGGTGTTTTTGTTCCCCTTGGAAGAACCTTGGGGGTGAAAGATGGGTACCTGGCCACATCTAAGATGCTCCCCCTTTTGTAAGACTCAGGGTTCTTGGAATTCCATCACAACAGAAAACCCTGGTTGTCCCTTCCCTCCTCTCTGTTTCCCACTGAGATTTTGGCTATGGCAGGTCTTCTCCAGCAGCATTTTTTTGTACTTTGGGAGCAACACGTTGGGTGCAGGAGAGACCAGTCTAACCCTCTGGTGTGGAACACAAGAAGGGGTTAGGCTAGGACTGCTTACATCACTTGAAGACCGTACATACCTGTTTAGTAGCTCATATCTAAAACCCTTGTCCTATCACGGAGCACCCCTCACCTTGCTTGGGGCTGCCTTTGTTCCTAGCAATGTCTCTTCTTCAGCGTTTCAAGGTATACCTATTGCAACAAGTAGATTTTCCCCAGTCGTCATCACCATCTTTCGTCAGGTTGTCTCCTTGAGAGACCCTTATGGTCCTGAGTTTCAGAACTTCATAGATCGGTGTGTTTCACTCTTAACTCCCCTCCTTCCTTAATTCTCTCCAGGTAAAACTGATGAAGCGGATTGCAGAAATGTCCGATCTTAAGCCTGTGCTTCGCAAATTGCCACGAATCAAGAAGTACCTCTTAAACAACGACAATATGCGGTGAGGCTTTGCCCCGTGATCTGCTGTGACCTTCCTCTTTCAAAAAGATTACCTTTTCTGGCCTAAGAAGGGACCTGGGGAAGGTTGTAGGACCTGTAGATGTCAAACTGTACAGAGGCGCTGTGGGTTAAACCGCAGAAACCTCTATGCTGCAAGGTCAGAAGACCTGCTGTTGTAAGATCAAATCCACATGGCGGAGTGAGCTCCCGTCGCTTGTCCCAGCTCCCGCCAACCTAGTGGTTTGAAAGCATACAAAAATGCAAAATGCAAATAGATAAATAGGTACCACCACAGTGGGAAGGTAAGCAGCGCTCTGTGTCTAGTCATGCTGGCCACATGACCACGGAGAATTGTCTGCGGACAAACGCTAGCTCTGTGGGTTGGAAACGGAGATTAGCACTGCCCCCTAGAGTCGGATATGACTGGACAAATTGTCAAGGGGAATCTTTACCTTTTTTTCTAGAAGCTTCTGGGATGCATTTTGGAAAGGTATCTTTGTTTTTTAAAAAAGGTTTCTTCTACATGTCCCCTTTCTGTGTATGTAACTAGATCTGTTTCATTTTTCTGTAGGTGTTCATTGAACGCTACACCTCAGCAGATGCCCACTGCTGCAAAAGAAATAGAAAAATTTATAAAGAGTATTGTCAGGAGTAAAAAAGAACGAAAACCCGTCCGTCCACATGTGATTGAGGTAAAGGAAGTGACCTGCTTAACACAGAGAATGTATTGACTAGAGGAAGTCTGGTTTTTCAGGTGTTACACATATGAACAGCATATTTGGCATATATCTGACAGATTTTGGTAGTCCAAATATTTGTCCTGCACTCATTTTGTCAAGGAGTACCTTCTTTTGTTTGTGTATAAATAGCTGAACGTTTCAGATAGCTGATACTTGGTGTGCACATTAGCAGGATTAAGAGTTTGCAGGTCTGAAGAATTTAATTTTTAAAACTGAATAATTAATTTAATTTAGTTAATTTGCTGCCTTTCTTCCTATAGGGGACACAAGGTGACTTACAACAGATAAAACAAGATAGCTGAATCTGTTTGTCATCTTCAGTACCATCTTCAGCCATTAGGTGGCAGATTTCTGTAATCAACAGAGAGGAAACTGCAGAGATGCCTGCTGTATTTTCCCCCCCTCCAGAGTGTCTCTAGCCAGCTCCATGCGAGAGCTATTTATAATCAGGGAAAGGGAGAGATTGCAAGATGGAGTCACAGATTCTCCAGGCTGCTTTTGATTTGGTTGCTGTCAATGTATTTGCTGTTAACATGTCTTGTTTTCTCTGCCTTTGGGGAATAGGGAGGTATCTTCAGCATTAATGCTAGTTCTAACTTTTTTCTAGACACCTTGCCTAAGAAATTTATTGAGAAAATATTTGGGGTATGGGGTGGAAATGCGGTGGGGGAAGCCATACTAGCTACACAGTGAAGCCAACTGGATTTTTAGCATTTTAACAAAGTCTTGTATTTGTAGAAGCCATTAGACCCCAAATCAGCTGGCCCTGAGGCACTGACATGCTCCCAGATCCCAAGGAAGCTAATTACGGTAAGCCTGGATTAATTAATTTAGGCAATAGATGTCATTTTTTTCTGTTGTTCCATAAAAAAGCATGAATTGGGCCTAACCTGGAATGAAAGTTAATCTTGCTCCTTTGAATCATTTTGTGGAAAACAATTAAAGATCCACAAAAGTTCTCGACTTAATAGCATCTCTGAATCTC